TTTTAGTGTGCCAAGAATGTAGGAGCCAAGTAGAAAGTACAATCTGAGTTTTTAAATATTCCGAATAGTAAATACTAAAGGAACATGCATCATCCTAAGAAAGATTTGGGTACTCTAGGTAGCACCATCAGAATGACGTATTTTATCTGGAAGAAAGCAGATATGTTTACAGAGAGAATTCAGTTTACAAACATGGTAGATTCTATCCCCTCTTGAGCTACTGGAAAAGTGGCCTCACAACTGACCTTTTGATAGATTATCCCAGCTCAGCCAAAACTCCACAGGTTCTGCACTCTGGACAACTAGAATACATGGGTAACATCCCAATGAAGCAAAGACGAAGAAGCTCTGTTTCTGTTAGCAGTGTCCCTCAAATTGTCTCCAAACTTTCCTAAAGTTCAAGGTGGGTGGCAATAATATGGATTTAGGCTCTAGTAAGTCTGAATACTGGAAACACAACTTTGGGTTAATAAATACTATTATTTTGGAATTTAGTCTCTCAATTACAAACTACTGTAGAGATACTTTCATTTACTCTGAAGACTCTCTGCAACCTTGAAAAAGTTGAATAAGCATAAGCTAACTGGAACAACACAAGGATCTACTTTGGTTCCGTTCAATGTTAGTCAGGAAGAAGATGCCAAATAAAAAGGAAAAACAAAAATAAGTGCTGAGGGATTTAACATAAATTTGCGGTGGCATTAGAGAGGAATTCCTAGAGATGGAAAAAAAAGTATGTCAGAATGAGAAAAGTATGGTATATACAGATAAATATGAGAACTGTGTAGCTGGACAGTACAATGTCCAGAGACATGGCCAGAAAGAAAGACAAGACGCAAATCAAAAAGGGCCATATCTGCCTCATTAAAAGCACCCACTTGATCCTTTTGGTACCAGAGAATCAATGAAGGGGTTTACACTGAGGAACAGCATAGGAAGACCTGGGTTTCCCATATGTCAATCACACAAGCAACCTTGTAGATGAATGATTTAAGGGCTGTGAAGCTACAGCAAAGAAAAGCAGAAAGGCAATGCAATAAAGTGCAAGATAAATGGGATCTGAATGACAGCAAGGATTTGAAGGCATACAGAGGCAGATCATATATGTCAAATATTTAAGAAGCACAAGGAGCAGGACTTGGTAATTAATTGAAGATTGCGGACAAAATCAAGGACTCCCAAACACTGGAGGAAGAGAACCCAGGAAACGAACCAACTTAAAGGAGATGGTGATTAATTCTGTTTGGGATCTCTTTAATTTGACATCCTTTGGAACATCTAGGAAGAAATACTCAGCAAACTATTGGATGTATTGATCTGACTCTCAGAAAAATATACCTAAAGATACAAATTTGGGATCCAATAAGATTTAGGTTATAATGAAAACAATAAGAGTCTGAATAAGATTATGCAGATAGAGAATGTACAATTAGCATAATGGTAGCCCATGCTGGAACCAATAGAACACTAACATTTAAGGAGTAGGTTAGAGGAAGGGAGGGAGAGAGGAAGGAAGAAAAGGAGGAAGGAAAGAAAAAAAGAAAAGAAAAACCTGAAAGAAGAAAGAGTGGTCAGAGAAATATGAGGAAAATCATGTCATGGAAGCCAAGAGAGTTTTAAGGAAGAAATAATTATCAGACTCAAACGTAAAACACAGGCCCAAGAGATGATCACAAACAAATGGCCATTGGATTTGGTGTTCTATTAGTCATTGATGACGAACTAAAATCTCAGGACATGAGATATAAAGCAAACTGCTGTAGAATAGGGTCTACTGAGAAATAAAGACGTGGAGACTACTGCTGTAAGAATGTTAGATAAAGAGCAAAAAGAGATAACTTAAAAACTTCACTTTTAAGAAGCATATAATACTGCCTAAAAGATGGTGGGTCAAGAGAGAGTCAGGAAAAGGAGGGTTGTTTCCAGTTCTACCACCATTAGATACTAAAGTTCTACAACTCATTCTGAGAAAAGATTCTGGTTCACAGACAAAAGGTAATATTACATGGTATCTACCAAAAGTTGAGAATTCCAAGTATGTAGCAAGAACAGCAAAATTCAACTATGCGATAGGATTAGCTAATTTAAAAAATTACAATGATAATATTCAAAGAGATTAGGCCCTGGCTCTCTGCCACTTAGAAGTTGTGTGATCTTGGGCCAGTTACTTAGTCCCTTGTCTCTCAATTTCCTCATCTATAAAGTGGGGATAATAACAGTACTTATAGGTGTTGTGAGAATTATAAGATACCACATAGAAAATGCAACTTGGTGGTAGTTTAGAGTAGGACTCCAAATTTGTCATTATTTAGGATAACAGATAAAAATCACAGTGTATAAAGAACTTCACTTTTTAAGAAGCATATTTAGTTGTGCATTTATGGCAAGTCCTCATGACATCCTGATTTACAGGTTCATAATTAGCTCCAATAAATAGGTCACTATTCATCCACTTAAGGAAAAAACAACACTGTAAACACTTTAGCATAATGTGTATGCATATACCATATATATCAGTAAAAGAGAAAACAAGGACTCAATTGTAATTTCACATTCAAAAGACTCTTCCTCTTCTATGGCACTGAGGTACAGTTCTCATTAATTTCTGTAACAAAGTATACAGTGCAGAGACTTTCATTCATTCTGTGTCAAAAATGAATTAAACATAACTCGGAATAGGAATAAGTGCTGTAATGTTGTCTCCCTTTTTAATTTACATGTGCAGTAGTCTTTAATGATATAGCATGCAACTCTTCCAGCCAATCCACGAGACAAAAAGATTCAATTATTCTCCAGATCTACAGTAACATACTTCCCTTATATGTCAGAATTTCATTACTGCTGAAACAGATAAAAAGACAGCATATAGTAAAAGATCTTATGAACAATAATCAACTAGTCCAATGACCTGAGAGAATTGCATAAAAATACATTAAATTTCATAATATATAGCCTCATTACTCCTAAGAATGCTGCCATCTTTTAAACAAACAAAACAACTTCTTTTTAATAAAACAAAGAATAAAAACATCAATAAAGCTCCATATCAAAATAATAAAAGTACAGTTCTAGAATTAAGATGTCATTAAGTGATTTGAATTGACATGGTAATTTAAGAAAATATCAAGCATGTAGCAGTTTGGTAGTTATAGTAGATGTACATGGTGGGCTAATTTATATTCAAAATTTCATATCTAGATATTTAAATCGGCAGCATAGTTCCTAACAAAAGTCTTTAAGACTTTTTTACCCCCACAAATAAGGCTATTTAGTAAAAACATTATTTCTTGGATGAATTAGCCCAAGTGCAAATGAGTATACAGTTAAACCCCCTCACTGCACATCCTCATTGTCTTTATTTTTATTCTGCTCTACATTTCAAGCACAATAGTCACTAGATTGCTAAAAGCACCAGGAAGCACAGCAATGAGAATATAGAACTGATATTTATTTCTTTAAAAATATTGACAGATATTAAACAATTAAAGCTAAAATGTCTGACTTTTAATGTTAAAATTTTAAAATTTGTAACAGTAAGAAAGATGAAACCCTTTTTTTGTTTAGTAAATTCTCACTATATAAAACTGAAACAGAGAAATAAATCTTTTTTCCTACTCTGAGTACTATATAATACCCCAAAATCATAATATTAGTACTGACACTAAAAGAAAAAATAAAGTGCCACATTAAAGATTAAATAAACAGCATTCTCAGGAGTAATACACATAAAACCTACTTCACATCATTGTATTACATCCTACAGCAACTTGGTAGTTATTCCGGTATTGTAAATGGTTAATAGAAAGTCTTAGTTAATAACAAGTCAATAAATTTTTAAAAATCTTTTCACCCACTCAGGGTAAGCAAAAATATATCATTAGAGGTAAAATGACATTATGTGTTGACGTGAATGGTAGAGTGACAGAGTAAAAATGATGTCTTTGTTATCCTCAAAATAATTTTGTTGTCACTGGACTAGTCAATACAAAGAATGAAGGAGTTATCCCAGGTCTGTACCCTGTCTGTACCAATCACTGTCTAGCTACTGCTGCTCCTTTTGTGGCACAGTTAGACCCTTACAAAGAAGTGATTCTGTGGTTGAACCAGCAGCAACCTAGACTCAACATGCAATGGGAACACAATTTTTGAATAACTTGAATGAATTTGATTCCTAGCAATGAAAATATCAAGACTATCAAGACCAATCAGTGTTCTATGAACATACGTTTCAAGCATTGCTTATAAACACCAATTTGCATATTCCTGTACATTCATTTTTTTCCTCTTAAAAGGTACCATTGAGCTAAAGGTCTGAAACAATGAAAGTACCTTAAAATATAAACTTCTATGTAGATAACACATACCACATCTCTTACTTTAGATAGCAAGAGATAATCACCAGGGAGAAAAATCCATTATGAAACTAAATTCAGACACTTCTCCTGGGTTCCTTTTATTTTTCTATTGGAGTCGGTCAAGAAGAATTGTTTCACATCTCTACTGTCGGGGTAGACAAAACCAACCCAGACTCAAGTTCATTTTGGTAACTGGAGTCAATTGTACCCCCACCCACCCACTCCCGCCCCCCACCCCAGACACAGGTTTCCGGTTTGCACGCCTAGAAGTAGTACAGATTCAAACTGAAGAAGGAACAAACCAAGCAGACAAAACTAACAAGAAATTCATTAAATCAGTAAGTCTGATGGCACTCAAGGGCCAGCAGCATCCTGCCTCCTCTAAATGTTCAGGATTCTGATAAAAGAAAAGAAACAACGGGGCGGGGGTATCAAAAGGAAGAAGCCAGACTGCCCAGGTGAGAGGGCGAGGTGAGCGAGACAGAGGTGATGGGAAGCAGCCAAGTGACGCAGGAGGCGGTCACCTGTGGGGCCACTGGATCCAGCCCCGCCCCCAGGGACAGCAGCAGGAATCGCGGCCCGAAGCCCCCAAAATACGCCTGAGAAACACAGAGCTGGGCCCCCTCGGCCCGACATGGAACTTACCATCCACGGTTTTCTTCTTGAAGAAGGACGCCATGGTCAAGGACCGCGCCCAGGCGGCCCGGCTCGGCCCGGCTCGGCCCGGTCCGTGCGCGTCTGGGAAAGGACAGGAGGGAAAGGACAGGCCGGTGGAGGGTTCGGGGTAGCGAAGCCGAAGGACAGGCGAAGAGGGCAGCTCTCCAGGCAGAACCCGCAGAGGCGGTCCCCGGGAAGCCTACCTCAGCCGACTCTCCCGGAACTCAGGTGACTGCGAACTAAGACACTTTTTGGAGAAGTCACTTCTGGGCGGCGCCTGCGCGTTGCAGCTGGCGCCTGCGCACTGAGGCGCCTGAAGCTGCCGCCGCTGCCCTCTCCTCGGCTGCTGCCCGGTCCCTCTGCTTTGGGGTCGGGGCGCCGCTATCCCCCTGCGGAGGCCGCTGATCGCCGGAGGCCGCGGGGCGGCCGTCGGGGCCTTCTTGTGTGCGGGTTCCGTGCTGAGTGCCGACGGAAATGAGCCTTGCTTAGCCCTTTCCCCTTTGCCCGCTGGAAGGAGGGGTCCCCACTGTCCTAGGAGCAGTGTGGGTGGTCCGCAGCCAGTTAATTTACGATCATCCCGTTGCTGTCAGTATCAGTACTTTCCTAAGTGCAGGGCTGGTGGTAATGCCGAGGTCCATGCAGGAGTTTGTCCCCGGAGTTCACGCTATTTCCGCCCTGACTCGCTCAGCGACCTCCCCGGCGCCCCACGCAGCCGCTGCCGGACCGCCCCACGTGTGGCCCTGGCCGGGGGCTCTGACCGCCAGTGTCGGCCTCTGGGATCCGGTTCCCAGGCTTGGGGGTGGCAGGGGAGGGAGGAAATAGGGAGCAACTTTCTTAATGCAATACCTGAATGCTCGTGGCTGGAATTATGAACAATAACAAAAATCTATACATACTTGTATGTCTTCAACCCTTTAAAAAAAAAATCTCGATTTCTTGTACTTGCTCATAAAAAATTCATGGCCATAATGTGAACCTATGAGAATGCTATATAACTATATTGTTTTTACCGTGGGAAAAAAGGCACCGCCCTCTCCTGTCACGTTCAAGGAAAAGCATAGTGAGTAACGAAGAATCCTTGTGTGTGTAAGCATAAATATGGAAAATACAATCTTTGGATCAGGACTTTAAGTTCATTATTTCACTTCACTTTATATGTGTGTATACACATATTTCAGTTTAATGTATTCACCATTTAGAATCTTAAGTTTGCTTTTAACTTTTTTCTCCCAATCTACTAGTGCTTTGAGCAACACTGCCTTCCACAGGATAAAAATAATAAAGGCTTCTTATTTTTTATAGATGTGTTTTCTGATAGGGAAGACCCTCCAATAATAATGTCAATATTATCAGTAACTTCTGGCTATATGAATCATGTCTCAAGGGTTTTTAAGTATTTGTGGCATTCAGACTTCCCTTCCCAATTTTTTTCCCCACTCTTAAAATATGAAAGCCCTCCCAGCCACTGACAATCCTGCTGTTCCTGCTAAAATTTAGCTGTTTGCTCATGAAAACATTCTCAGAATGACATGGTAATATGCAAGGTAAAACTGTATTACTTCTCAAGTTATTCCAGATATTATGGGAAGGTGAAGAAGTAAGGAAACTGGGAAAATTGTAAATAAGAGACTTAATCTCGGCACATAAGGCCTGGTCTTTCTTGGAGTAAACTGGCAAAGAGGCGGTTTGCCCTGGCTGCCTGTTGTAATGAATGCACTGAGCTGTGCTTGAATGCTTGAGCAGCAATAAGCTGTTATGTGTGTAGTAATGTACTCCTCCCTGCTGCAGTCACCCTTGTTTTATTACTCCTACAGATTCCCCCCCACTGACCCAATTGTAACAGTTGGGAAAATGCCAAAATACTTAACAGCAACCATATGGAAGACCCTCCAAAAGTGCACAGCAGGACCTAAAGACAGGGCTTGTTCATTACAATAAAGACAAACTAGATATATATAGTATTTAAACCCAGCACTCTAGCAGCTTGATTCTCCCATAGTTTGAATCAGGCCAACATTTAGCTGATATGAACCAAACTGTCTGGCATCCATTCTGATTAGTTGGTGGCCATTCTGATTAGTGGTAAATATTTGGTATGTATATCACTTCTTATGTGAAGGGTACATACACTTAAATGTAACTGAGATTTAGGACACCAAGAAGTCATGAACTACAAATAATATGGTATTTTTCATTTGTTTAAAATTGCCACCTGCCCATACAAACTCACTGAATCAACAAGACACATATAAGCATAGTGGATAGAAAAAAACATTTTAACTTTACTCTTTTTAAATCTCATTAAGAAATAATTAACTAATATACTTCCATCATATCATTATGATCCAATACTCTTCTTCCGAATTGTTTAAATAGTGAAAAATATTTTTACATATCTAATGACACATACTGCTCTATGCTAGGGACATACCAGTGAAAAAAACAAATACAGTTTCTTCTTCCTTTTCCTCTTACCCACCTTCCTACCAGGTTTTCATCTTTTCTTAGTCACTTGTTACAATTCCAATGGGTTATTTCCCCACACCAAAGTCTCAAACACTAGTGGGGTTTTGTGTAGGTATTCTATAATTCAAATCAATTTTGACACTATCTACCGGGAGGTGAAAGCAGATTCCTCAGGTTAAAGGTTAAGTCCCAAAAGACTACCCTCACTTCAGATGCCAATAGTAAGTCCAGGTTGTTACCTGTGTTACCAGAAAGGGGACCTGGCCCTGAGCGGGTCTGCCTAGAGCCAGCTGGCAGTGTGTGGGTTCTTGACTTTGTGCAAGAAAGAGTCACAACACAAGTCCAGGTGAATTTTAGAGGACATTTATTAAAGGTGGGAACAGAGAACAAAGGCAGGGGAAATGAGCCTAGGCTGGGCTGCTTTGGCTCACTAAAAGGTCAGAGAAAACGGGGCCTTGGGGACAGGTTCAGGGAGTTTACCTGGGATGAACTGCCTCTGCCCATTGCTGCCCTGATTGCAAGCCTCATGGGATCACCTAGAGTCTAGGAGATGTATGCCTGTGGGAGGATGTAGCAGAGTGGGGGGCGAGGCATACTCCTGGGAAGGATAGCTCATGCTGGGTCCTTTGTTTTGTGGCTTTTATTTCTCTCTTGCAGGCAGGAATCTTAGGGGAGGTCTCAGGATTTCCACAGAATATTCATCAGTGTTCTATGTGTTCCTTCAGGGTTGTGGTCCTCACTGATCAGTCTGTGTCAGGGCAGGGGTCCTTAGTCATTGCAGCTGGTCCTGGTGTTGCCTACCTGGTTTTGTTGCTTTTCTAGTTCTGGAGCTGAAATATAGCTGAGGCCTAGATGTTACTTCTGGTGAGGTGACCTTCTGTATCTGCTGAAAATGTCTCTGTCAGTTTGTTCAGCTCTCTGTCTCAGTTTCCCTGTTCCACTTGTCCTGGCTCATTGGCCTGTCTCGCCTATACTTCTGACAGATCAGCTACAAATCAGAGGTTCCCATGACCCCCTCCTTGGGTTCCATTAACTTGTTAGATCAGTTCACAGAACTCAGGAACTCTGTTTACTCACTAGATTAGTGGTTTATTACAAAAGATATTAAAGGGTGAAAATCAGCAGCCAGAAAAAGAGATACATAGGGCAGGGTCCTGAATGCAGGAGCTTCTGTTTCCCTTGGAATCTGAGGCCCAGACACAGCACAACATGGAAGCGTTCTGGTATACCAACATGGAAGCTCCTCGAAACCTGTCCTTTTGGGTTTTCAGGGAGGCTTCCTTACATTGGCATGCTTGCTTTAATTAGCCAGTGGTGACTAAACTGAAATGCAGTCCCTCTCCCTTCTCCAAAGGTTGGAGGGATGGGACTGAGAGTTCCAACCCTCTGATAACATGGTTGGTTCCCCTGGTGGCCAGCCCCCATCCTTTGGTGCCTTCCAAAAGTCACCTCATTATCATAAACTGAGGTATGATTGAAAGGGGTTTGTTATGAATTTCAAGGCACCTTTATAGCTTTTATTATGGCTTAAGAAATTCCAAGGGTTTTAGGAACTCTGTCAGAAATGGGCACAAAGACCAATTGCATGTTTCTTATTATAAATCACAATATTACACTTGTCCATTGCAGAGAAGCTGGCTTTGGCTTAGTATAAGAAAAAGAGCTTTAGTTATAAAACAACTAAATTATAGGAATGTAATGTACAAAAAGGGGACTATAGTCAATAATATTGTATTAACCCTGTATGGTGACAGATGATAATTAGACTTATTGTGCTGATCATTTCACAATGCCTACAAACATTGAATCATTTCTCTTGTACACCTGAGCCTAATATAATATTGTATATCAATTAAAAATAATTACCTTGTTCATATAATAATAATTTTAAAAAGAAACAAAAAGAGCTCTTAAAACCAAGCTATTCTTAAATGGGATTTGTGCTGTGAGAGATAATGATTTTGTCAAGAAGGAATTCGAGCAGAAGCAGGTTGTTGTAGATAGGATTCCTCTAAAGAGTCAAAGTCTTGACTGGAAGATTTCTAATTTTCCTGTAAAATCTGGGATTTTATTATGAATAATATATAGCTCAGGTGAAATACCTTGGTGCATAGTCTTTCACACCCTACAGATAATACTAACAAATCTTGCCGGCTTCACCTTTAAAGATGATAAAGCCAAAAATCCTCCTGATTTAGGTAAACTTCATCTCTCATCTGGATCATTACCATCTATTTTATTACCCTGCTTCCATCTATTCTTTCCCCGCTCCGTTCTAGTGAGGAGATGGTACTGTTAAATGTGAACTAGATGATGCTATTTTGTTTCTCAAAAAAAGATCAACATATTGTCTATATTTATGTCTGGACCACACACACCTGTGTGTACACTTACGCACACACACATCTGTTCTCCAGATTTTACTTCTGTTGTTCATCCATTAAATGTCCACATTTTTACCATCCAGGTTGCTCACCTAATTATGTCCCTTCATTATGTGTCTCAGGTGGAACATATCTGTTTAGATTCTATCACAAAATTATGCCCTCTATTACCTCCCTTGTTCTGTACACTCTATTTTTGACAGCACTCTCTTTGATTGCATTAGCATATTTAATGATCATATTCTTTGAATGGCCTCAAACTTTTAGTCAAGTGAAACTTTTAGCATATTTAAAAAAATATAAATTCTTACTCAATCCTTCCCATCCTGTACTTGACCAATAGACAGTTTTAACCCAAACACAGAACTTAACATGCAACACTAGAGACATCCATTCATTTTTGCATTGATTAACTTAT